CCTTTCGGCGCCATCTTCCCTGTCCCTGTATCCAAATTAAGAATGCAGCTTTCATTGTATGAAACTCATTGTATGAAAAGCGATTGTACGAAAAGTTAAAATACCGTTTCTTGACCCCGGACCCGAGGCTCACTATAATAAACTAAGGGAATCTAAATATTTACTGGGCGCCCCTAGCGCCCCTATGGCCAAGGCGCCCTGTGCTAAGGCACAGGTCACAAACCCAAAAGGCCGGCCCTGTAGCGAGGGGGGTGCGGACCGCACCGGGTGACACCATTTCAGGAATGACACCCGATTGAAAAACTGTATATTTACAGAGCACACAGTGCTCGGTCTAACGGACATTCATAAATGGATAACTGATCACGCATACATTTTTCACAAATGTAACCAATCCAAATGCGTGCTTCATTAAACGTTCAAAGTTAATGCGTCAGAAATAAGATGACCCTATGTTTAGTTCAGAAAAACACAGTCATTTTTCCTCGCCGGTTGAAGTGTTCGGTAACTTCCGTAAATGACAGGGGGGCTATATTTATCTAAATTCTGCGAAAAAGGGCTTTCCATTGATACCAAATAAGTGTGATCGGGCGGTTATAAGTATAAAAATCGGTGGCAATTAAAAACATTAAAAATGAATTGTTACCCATTTATAGGGTTAAAAAATATATTATTTTATACAATTTTAAATCTTTTAATGATTAATTCTTTTTTATTTACATAAAGAAAAGTTTTTTGAAGACAAATATAATATTATTTATCGAAACCTAGAAAAAGTGAAAAATTAATATTTCCCCGATTCGTGACTAGTATCGCCCCTTAACATTTGAGGACCCTTGTCATATGTAGATTGCTGGGTTTTCCCTGCCGCCTTTCCCTGTTGTATTTGGCATAGTGCTCTGTTTTTCCTTTTAAACTATCGTCAGGAATTATTTTGTTTGTTGTCTTGAACACGACAAAAATTAAACATTTTTATTGTTCAAGATTATTATATCACACCACACGGCGTGCACAATTCTAAATGGCCAGCTGGCTGTCAGCAGCGAAAAGAAAACAAAATAAAATACGCGACTCACTAAAATCCCTACCAGAATACATGCTTCGATATGTCAAGAAAACAAATGATGACCAGGGTCAGAGTTCATCAAAATCAAAAGATGTTCCCAGAGCCGGTGCCAGAGTTTTTGGCACCCTAGGCGAACCTGTCGTACTGCGCCCCCCCCCCCCCCCCCCCCCCCCCCCCCCCCATGGCAACTAATTATTTATTAATATTAACTTTCACAAATGAATGCTGTGCTGGCGTTTGTTTCAATGCGTATTTACATTCAATGGAATCTATACATGTATAATGGTATATTATGTAATTTTTAAACTTTATTTTTCGCGCTTTTGCTTTAGCAAATGTAGAAACGACTTCCATCAGTTCAATGTGTCTAGCAATTCCATGTTCAATTGTCAGAGTAGCTAGTCCAACAAGTCTTTCTTGTAGCACGGATGTTCGCAGATATGTTTTTATGAGTTTGAGCTTCGAGACGCTTCGCTCACCACTAGCCACAGAAACTGGAAGTGTCAAGAGGATTCGCAGAGCTATAACAGTGTTGGGGACACTATCTGTTAGATCATGTTCTTCAGCCTACCTTTGATACTAAGTATCCCGATACCAGCAGCATGCTTTCTTCATAGCACATAGTAGAGAAAATGGAAGAGATTGACGTGGAAACACAAGTAGAAGACATGGATGGTTTGGAAACAGAAATGTTTGCTGATAATGTTGATTCAAACCAAGATATTGTAAGTGTAATGGCTAATGACAAAAACTGGCATATTTGATCAGATGCTTCTCTAAGGGATGTACCAGTTCCAAATTATTTTCGGTCTGAAATTATTAAAATACAGAGTACCTCGTTTCAGAACAAAGACGGACTATTCAGAGTAGTGACAAGGCAAAATGCGAAATCTAAAGGAGGTGCTCGCCAACTAACAAAACAATGGTTCTACGGGATGATGCAAAATGGAGAGAAAATACTGCGGTCGTGGATGGTTTATTCACTCGTCAGTCAGAAATTGTAATGTTTTTGTTTTTGCTGCAGAATATTTGATGTCAATGTTACAGAAACAACATCCAAATATGTTACTGATTTTGATAAGTGGTGGAAACTGGGCCCAAAATTGTAAAATCATGAAGCATCGGAAGAGCACCTATGTTGCCTTGAAAAGGGGAAAGCATTGGCAGCAGGGCCTCGGATACACAAAACAATTGATGCCAAAAGTATTGCTGTGATGGACAGGGAAAAGAAAAAGTGAAGGGATATCCTGAACAGGTTGCTGGATATCCACATTGTTTCTTGCAAAGCAAAATCTGGCATTTCGTTGCCACAACGAAGATGAATCTTCACTGAAACTTTCTTGAAATAGTTGAGATGCTATTTAAGTATGACCCAGTGCTAAAAGAGCGCCAAATGAGACTAAAGAGGAGGACATCTACAGAAAAAAGCATCCGCATCTTACCTTTCACCAGAAACCAAAAATGAATTTATAAATTTCCTTGCAAATCATGTGAAGGAGATTCTTATCATGGATATAAAGGCTTCGAGGCATTTTGGAATTATGTTCGAAAGTACACCTGATATATCACACAGTGACCAGATGTCTGCAGTGATCAGTTATGTGAAAATCGACATTGGGGAGGTTGAAGTGAGAGAAGTTCTTCTTGCATTTTCCCCGTTGCGATGTAAAAAAGCTGATGACCTCAGTTCTGACATTCTTACAAACTCAAACGTGATGGACTTGACAAGCGTGATGGACTAGACATACTGATATTCAGATCTTAGGGTTACGATAAAGCTGCCCTAAAGTATGGAATCCATGGAGGTGTTCAAACCATTCTGAAAATAAATAATAAGAAAGCAATTTTTAATGGATGTGTGGGCCGTTCACTTATCTTGTGTGGTCAACACTCTTTTGCAGAAAACGCTCCATGTATTACATTATTTGGTACTCTTGAAAGAATATTTTCCTCCTTTGCTGCATCCATTCATCGATGGAATGATCTGATGGAAGAACTGGAATGTCGTTTAAAAGATTGTTGGAGTGCTCATCGTGCTGCGGTTAAAACAGTGAAAGATAAGTTTGATGAATGTGTGGCGGTGACTGAAGCTCTCTGTATCCTCTTGAAAATGTGAATACAAGAGGTACACCACAAGGTCTTTTACATGCTGTCTGTGATTTCACGTTTATCTGCTATCTTTACCTTTGGGCTGATCTACCTGAGAAAGTTAATCTTACACAGCAGTATATGCAGAATTCTGCACGAGAAGCGCGTCACTTGGTGGAACATGCTATTGAAAGGCACTTTTAAAATCAGACCATTATGGAATTTCTGTAGAGAGAAGTTTAAGGTTTAAGAAGAGAATGGCAGGAGAACAATTAATAGATGCTGGACTCTTTTTGCGAGAATAAAACAGTAGAGAGATGCTGTAGTGTATTGATCGCTTTCATTCTGAACTCCAGATCAGATCATTAGCGATCAAGGAAGTACAAGATATGTTTTGGGCTGTTCAACCCAAAAGTCTAGTATCAGCAAGTGAAGAAGAGTCATTGGTGTCCGTTCCAAAATTAACTCCTTTTTATGATGAGTTATCAGAAGATGAACTCTTAAACGAAATACCAAGGCTTAGAAGACATCTAAAAGCAGCTGATTTCTCAAATTATGGACTGGTCATTATTTGATGTTTTGAAATTTATAGCTGAATGGGACTTCCTAGAATCTCTTTCAATACTCTCGCTAAGCCTTTAATTTTCTCTTCAGATATGTGGGTATGTGGCTTTATGTCAGCGCAGCTTTTCAAAACTAACCCTTATCAAGAAATATTTATTATCCACCATGGGACAATCTAGGCCTTCTGATGTGGCTCTGCTATCAATTGAAAGTGATACAGTGAACAGGGCCAGCCTTGAGAGTGTGCAACCTGTGCCCTCGCACAGGGCGCCGTGGCCAAAGGGGCGCCTGGGGTGCCCAGCAAATATTTAAATTCCATAAGTTTATTAAAGTGAAGTGTGAACCTCGGGTTCAGGGTGGAGAAGCTCTATTCTAACTTTTCGTACACGGTGTGTGATTAGGGCGCCATCAACGATCTTCCAAAATAGGAAAAAGCATTGCATGTGGGCGCAAAGAAAGTGCAAAGAAAAAAAAAAGATATTCTGATAAAAGTTAACAAAAACAATTTTATTGTTCATTGTTTGTTTAAAACAAAACTTTGGTAGGCCTAATAAACTAATTACCGAATAACTAGTTTTTTCCGTTAATGGTTATACTAAAATAGGGGCGCCAAAGTTAAGATTGCACAGGGCGCCAGCAACCGTTGGGCCGACCCTGCAATGAAGTTCATTGATTTTGATCAAGTGATTGACAGGTTTGCAGCTTTGAAGACAAGGAAAGGAAAACTTTAAATAAAGTAAATTTAATATAGATACACATATAACTTAACGTTTTTAAATACATTGACCTCATGACCTTCGATTAATGTGCTTTTGTTCTTATTATTATACTGTGGACTTATTTTAACAAGCAGAAATTCATCATGGAAGTTGGGGGGGGGGTGGGTGGCACCATGACCCCGCACCAGGTGACACCAACCCTAGCTACGCCACTGCATTTATCTATTAATTAATATTAATTTATGCTTAAAGTTTACTTAACATCCTGGCCTCACAAATAAGCCAAGTTATCGGCACCTGATTTTTTTTCAACATTAAAATGTTGAATGATCCGAATAAAATTTTTATGTTAAATTGGACGCGTATGTGAACTATGAAGCTTTTTAAATTAGTAATAAATGCCATTTTGTTTTTTTAAATTTGTTTTTGATTTTTAAAATCTTTTTTCGTATCGATCTTGGAGTAATATAAGTTTGATTTTCTTATCTCGGTAAAAAAATGTATGCCCCCGGCAGTGCCCCGGAAATACTTCCTGGTTTTCTTCCTGGTATGAATGTTGCATTACACATAGGCTATAAAGACCTATGAGTATGTTATGTAATAAAACGGTATTTAAAAAAAAAAATTCTTGAATATATTTTAAATTGAAACCACCGTGACACTCTTTTTCTCTGATGTGGAACATCTATAACTGTTTACTGGCATTTATGTAAGTTCTTTTAACAGGCTATTCAAAAGGATTAATTAAATAAAACAAACCAAACGTTTTTACAGTTACTGCTGAGTAAAAGTAAAGTAAGTAAAGTCTAAAAGACCAGTTTGAGTTAGTATAATATTATTGATCCGGGAACGAGGCTATAATAGGCCAGGATAGACTTTAAAATATAAAATAGCCAGTAGAGTCTATTAACAAATTTGTCATATAAAAGCGCATTAGCATAATATGGGCCCCCCCATCAGATTATAACATGTTGGCGTTGAAAATAGTTATAATCTCCTACTAATAAATACTAATATATTTTGCTTCTCCACATAATTTATATTAATAGTACTGAGTGAAACAAAAGGCTCATGCATGACAATGGAACACGGTAAAAAAAATTCTTTAGGGGGAGGCGACTATTTTTATAATCAATGAAGAGCCACAGGTATTGTTATGGTGTAATATAGGACTATCTGAGTATCTGTGGGTCTATTGTTCAAAATTTAGCAGGGTGTAGGTCTGTATTTCTCAAAATACCTAGACCGTATGTAAAAAACAAAATGCACCCGGTTAACCCCTAGTATATATTATATATAATGAAATAGGCAGTAATCTAACACTTCTGCGTATGTTATGAAAAAAACCTGAAGTGCTATTTAAGCGGTTATCGTTTTATTGTTATCATCAGTGGCGGTACAGCCCATGTAGGGCCCTGCCCTGCTCCACCACATCCTTCCATTCGGATTGATCCATGGCTTTCCGCCTCCATGCGCAAACCCCCAGCTGGTGTAAGTCCTTCTCTACATTGTCTATTCATCTCTGTCTTGGTCGGCTGGTGACCCATCTGTGCCTAGGTTTCTGCCTGTATATCACTTTTGCTTCTCTTCTAATCGACATCCTTTCAAGGTGTCTTGTCTAGCACAGTCTGCCTTTTTATTATTGTTCGGACTATGAGTGGGTCTTTTTACAATTGATATGGCTATTTGTTTGTATGGATTCTCCAAACATCAATGTCTTATTGATAGGATAAATTTCTTTTATCCATCCAAATAGATGGAAATGTTTTGTATGACATGGTACATATTCATTTCAGCACATAATAAAAATAAATAATCCAACACAAAGTGTTTAAAATATAAAAATTAAAACAGTTTTAACAAATTTTAAATATAAAAATTTAAACAATTTAATGCATAAAAAGACAACAGGTTTTGAAATTATGCATAGTTCCCCTCTATGGTAACAATGACAATGAAGTTTTTAAAATATCATATCCACAAAAATGGTTGCAAAACATTAACTCATGCAAATAGGAAGGGAAAAGATCGCAGCTTGTACCAAACGATCATGATTTGGATCAAAGGAAACTCAGTGGACACCAGCATGATTTGGATCAACGGAAACTCAGTGGCCTGCTCTCCACGGTCCACATCAATAAAAAAAATAACTGTTTAAATTGCTCTTCCGATTGGAATAACAGGATTTTTTTCATAACGGATGCTCAAGTAGTAGATGATCAACAGGCTACAACTCAATTCAGATGGCCTAGCCTGTGTCTCAGTGTTGACAGATCTTAGATGTGTCCAAAATCAATTTATCTTTTATATAAATAATAAGGAATAAGCTATTGACTATATAGTAGGCACTATTGGTATTGTAACATTTTAAATTTGAATTATACTTAGTTTATTAAATTTATAATTTATTCATTTATGTTTGACTTTTGTTTAGACCAAACCAATATTAAGTTAGACGCCAGAAAGGGAATTAGAGCTAAGACCAAACAGGCCTGCTAGCTAACTAAAGAAAATTATGTGCGTTTTCTCTAAGTGACTGGGTAGAGTGAAATTGCACACTGACTGTGTATATTGGGTTTCCCAGGGTACAATTTGCTAGTTTTTAAATGGACAAAATTTCAACACTGCTATTTCCGCCCTTTCTCTGTTAAAACACAACTGTCATCAAATTATAGCTTAATCAAATAGATATTAAAAACTTTTAAAGTGTGTATTGTGGTACGCAGTATGTTAAAACCATAGATATTGAAATATTTTTAAGTGTATAATTGTGGTGCACAGTATGTTAAAACCTGCATTTGAGACTCTCTGAGTGCTGTGGTCTAGCCCCATATTTGAGGAAGACAATAAAATTGCTACATTCATCACCAAATATGCTTATGCTCAGATGCAATCCGAGAAAGAAAGCATTGTGCTCAACCAATCACATATTATGCTTAGGGTGCTTCTTGCCCTAACCAACACCAGCCATATTTTATGTGTTTAGTTCTGATTAGGGACCATCCATAGCTGTTATTATTTTGGCTGATTTTTAACACCCCCCCCCCCCACTAGATGCAATCCGAGAAAGAAAGCATTGTGCTCAACCAATCACATATTATGCTTAGGGTGCTTCTTTCCCTAACCAACACCAGCCATATTTTATGTGTTTAGTTCTGATTAGGGACCATCCATAGCTGTTATTATTTTGGCTGATTTTTAACACCCCCCCCCCCCACATCATCACAAAAATGTGACCCCCATAACCCTTCCATCATTTATGGATTGTGGCTATCAAAACTTGATATTTTTTTATGGAAATTACTTTATGTGACAACAGTTGAATTATTATGAAAGATTTATTTGACAAAAATGTGTTTATACTGTTAGACTTACAAGTAAAACATTACAATATGTTTGTTGTTGATTTTCTGGAGATTCACGCCTTTAATTGTTATCAATTGTTATTTTCCTCTAGGCCGTACCTTCCATGACATTCGTTTAGAGATGGCTTCTCGGGTCAAAACCAATGGTTTTGTAGGCCCTATCATCAAAGAAGGGGTGCTATGTAAGAGATCTGTGATAAAGCGAAAGATTTTGCATGCTCAGAACTACAAGAACAGGCTGTTTAGACTCAATGACAACTATTTGTTGTATTATGAAGGGGATTTGCAGGTGAGCAAATGGAATAATTCACAATTTTATAAAACTCAAAATCAAGTTTTATATTAATTTAAAAAACTCACTAAAATATATATTATATTTACAATGAAAAGATGCACAAAAATATGACAAATCAGTAATCAAATCACTATTTTAAATGATATTACATTAATTTTTATAATGATCAGTCTCCTGGAAAGCTTAAAGGTGATGTAATGCTCAAGCAGATTAGGGTTGTTATGGAAGTTGAAGATAAAAGACTAGAAGATAAAGATAATGTATTTCAGGTAAGTACTTTCATTTCTATTAATTGAATATTGTAATTTACTCATATTGTTTTGATCTAATATATTAGAAATAACAGAAAAGAACAAAAACGTAAAATCACGTAACTCTAAATCAGCTTATTTGTGGCTCTTAAATGTATTGTCTGAATTATTTAAGATAGACTGAGTTTTAAAGAGTTTTTTATTACTTGAAATTAAAATAGGTTTTTGACTAGTTAGTTTGAGAAATGTGTTTTTTTCAAAGCGTAGTTATACATAATCATTTTGTATTCTTATTCTGTGGTTTGAAAATAACTATTCCCTCACATTCACATAATTTATTTCTGTTATGTGTAATGCTAAATGTCACTTGAGACCCCATTTTGTTCACAGGCCTATATCTGTTGTGGTTAATGTGGCAAATGAAACTCTGTTTCAGAAACTCAAAGATACAAAAAATGTGTTCTTTGTGTGCAATAGTAGTTTTGTGTACCTCTGTGGGTTTGAACTGATTCAGATTTTCCCTACTGTAGTCAGAAAACAGCAACCTACTTTGCGTAGGATTGAAAATTGTCTGTCAACAAAAAAAATCAGCTTTAGTCTTACCACTTAAGTTACAACTTCTGGAAAAGAGAGAAAAATAAATAAATAAAGAAGCCTTTTGAATACATGAGTAAACTATGTATGTTAATAGTTAGATATGTTGTTTGTTAATAGTAAGATATGTTAGGCTTTACAAATTTTTTTAACCAGTTGTGATAAAACTGAGGGTCACAACAGCCATCTCCTCGTCTTACCCAAATGATAACATGAATTAATTCTTCAGTTGCATCATTAATTAAAACAACTAGTTTAATCATGTTTGTGATAACTTTTAATCAGATTGTTTATGCCGAAAGGGATGACTTTTGTACACTGTACATTGTTGCAAGCAGCAATGTTGAGAGACAAGCTTGGTTGGAAGCCATACGAACATGTAAGCTTTAAAAAATTTAAATTCCAACTCCTGCATATTATTTCAGACACTAGCTAAAAGTATTATTTAAAAAAATTAGTATTTGTTGATATAATGAACATTTTTCTATATCAAAACATTAGATATTAAAATCAACAACTGGTTAACAAAATCTTTAAAATAACAATCACAAATTTTTTGACATTCCTACAGCCGTAGCCGATAACTTATAATTGTGAGTTCTATATTCAATTATAAAACTACTTTTAATTGTGGACAATGTAAAAGAGGCATTTTTCCACTAGTTCAAGTTTTTTCACTAATTTTCTTTTTAAGGTGCTCTCAAATCCGGTGCTCAGTTTTTCAATAAATATCATCCAGGAGTGTGGACCAAGAAACATGCATATTACAACTGCTGTGATCAGTCCAACCGCAATGCCATTGGCTGTAAATGTTGTGGTGAGCAGCAGAACTTATTCATTTTATTCAGTGCCAGTAGAGCAATAGCATTTCATTGGTCTTACGATGGGGACCTGGGATTCAAAGCTGACTAGAATTGGGACAGGTTGTCATACTTTTTTAAAATAACAAATCATTGAGAGTAGATGTCAGAGATTTTTTTTTTATTACCGGCATGCCCGAACTGAAGTGAATTTTAGATTCATGGGATGTTCAGAACTATGAATTAAAAAGATCTTTTAAGTATGATCATGCAATCAGGCTTTAAGGGGTGACTAAAAACTTCATTAAAAAATAAGAATAAAAAATATTAATGAATTTTGTATATTAATTTCTAGTGTGGCTTGAAAACAATAAAATATGTAACTGAAGGCGGATTAGCACACCTTTTTTTCCAGGGCTAAACAGAACTTTTCTGATCTCTTAGTCAGATGGTTGTTCAAAAGACCTCAGATATTATGTCATTTAATCCTTAAAGAAAATAACTAGCAGGTGTAGAAGAAAGTAGCCAGCTCTTATAGTAAACTAACCCATAATGGGGTGTGGGTGGAGACAGTTTAGTTAGAAGATATGACATTGGTGAAAGTAAAAATTTGAGTAATAATCAATTTCATACAAAGAACAGAGAGAACAATCCCCAGACGTAGTTGCAATGTAAATGCATCGTTATGTACGCCTCTACTTGAACAAATGGCTCTAAGTGTTGTTTTGTTTTTAATGAAAATTAATTACAATTTTAACTTATATTAAAAACTAAATATTCACTTTTGCAAATACTCACATGAATGATCAATTAATCTGTTTTTTGTCAATTTTAGAATCGTTTCCTCAGTCAACACCTCCATTACCCCCTGTCCCACCACCAAGAGTCGACACAGCCAATGACAAAGTGTACATTGCCGTCTTTGACTATCAACCGACTGATGATTGGGGCTTGGAACTCATAGCTGTAAGAAATCATATTGCCCATTGATTTTAGCTCCTTTAAGGCAATGCTGTAAATTAATTTAAGCTTTTATATTTACTGCTTCTTTGGCTAGTTTATAATTGTCTATTTTATTTGACTAGTGTGATCCATACATTCTAAAACATTTTTTTTTAAAATTATTTTTTAATTCTGATTTCATTTTATAATAAATTTTACAATTCATTCTTCTTTATGATTACTTGCTGATAAAAATATTTTGAAAATTGTTTTTAATTGATAAATACACTCAGGACATGTTTTATTCAGTTTTGAGCTTAATTAATCCAAGTGGTTCAATTATTGATTAAAAAATGTACATGTTCCTCTTTTGCTTTACAGGGTGAACAATATGTAATAAAAGATGAAACTGCTGAGAATTGGTGGTATGCTGTCAACAAAGATGGGTAGGTGGAGAAACATGCGAGCTAAAATTATTTATATAAATTAATTTTACTTCTGAATTTAATAGGAAATAGAAATTATGAACAATGCTTATGTTACAGAACTCTGTTTGTTACGACTTTAATTTAATAACTTGAGACCTTCATCAAATCTCGCTGCCTTCTTGCGTTGTCTAGGGTGTATGAATCTCTCTCTCAAATAAAACACAAGGTCCAGTGTAACAATATAATAATTTATAGGATACTTTATAAAACAGGATACTGCTATTCAATATACTATGGGGCGTGGAACACACATCAGTCCAACTACCAACTTTCCACTCTCCAAGCACTACCCTCTCGACTAACGTGTTACTCGCTCCTATCGCTACTACTCAACTAACTCTTTACTGACAACGTTTGACGACTAACGACCAACTAGCACACAGCCCTTTTATATCCCTACAAATCACTCAGCATACACGAACGTTCCACACCACGGATCAACTTCACGCACTGATCTCACAATCAACAACTCACAAAACACTCTCACGATTCACGACTCCCCCACCCAACATTCACAACAATCTAGTTCACAACACTGTTGATAATTTCATCATTTTTATAACCCTTTTACAGAAAAGAAGGTTACATTCCTTCAAATTACATCAAGAAAAATTGTGGCCTTGAAATCTTTGAGTGAGTATTTAAATTTAACTCTCAAAAGACTGTAGATTTGTCCAGTTTTTAATGACCTTGAATTTGAATATATCTTATTCTTCACTGTGTCTCATGGCTGTAATTTTGTAGCTATCTTAAAAGTATTATATGTCATTTTAAAGGTAATTGGATACTCTTTAATCGATATTTGGTGTTTCTTCAAAATATCCTTGCTAAATTTTATTTATTACTATTTTTGGGCATAAAAAATATTTTTTTAGGTAAAAAAAAACATAACTTCACAGTTTTACAAAGAAAGAAACAAAAAGTGTTTCCAATTAAATCAATAAAATTGACATTTTATTAGAATGTGTTCAATACTACACAACATATTTAAATTTCAAAAGAATAGACTCATAAATAAAAAAAAGTTATGACCATTTGTAGGCAACATATCATTCAAAGAAATATTGCTCAAAAAGTCAAAATTATTATTTTTTGAAATAATATTCTTTTTTTTCAAAGGAAAACATATAATGCATCAAATTATCCCTTATAGGACTATTATTAAGTATTATTTTAGAAGAAAAGTAAAGAAAAAAAGCACATTTTAATAAAAAAAACATTTTTTATGCATCCCGAGATACCGATCAAATGATGAAAATCCTTGGCCAAGACATGCATATAAAATTCTTGAAAACAATTTCTTTATTTATTAAAAAACAAATTTATCAAACACAAAGCCTGTGACAAATGCTCTGATCATTTTACCCTGTTTTGGTAACACACAATTGCGTCTTTTAAGAGTTAAACTGTTGATTTAAGTTAATATAAAACAGATAACCTAAGATTTATAAATGTTGAGCAGAAAGATAACCTCGCTCTTATCTAGTTTAAAAGGATTGAACATCTGGTTACCTTTATCTATATAGAAGGTAAAAAATCTGATTATTATTAATATTCTAAACTAGAAGAAATGACCCAGTGTTACCATGGTAACAATGGAATGATGGTTGTTCTACTTTCTACCAGCTATTAATAGAATAATCTCTACCGATCAATCAATTTATTAAATATTGAACTGAATCAGATTTTAATGTTTTGTAACCTTAAAAATCCCCCAAAATCCCAAAAATTATCATGGCTCTTGAAATGAATATTTAGGATAACTCAAACGTTCCTTAATTTTATTGAAATATAGTATAGATATTTATTTTTCTTACATCATTGGATTTTGAAAATGTTTATTTTCTATATTAAATAGGCTTTAAAAACATCTAAATTCTCTTTTTCAAAACTTTTATATTGTAAAATATGCTTCTGTACACGCAATTCAAAATATTTGCACACAGGACTAAGTGGGATGATATGTGAGAAAAGCATGAACTTAGGGTTTCATTTTATTGGCTGAGTACTGTTCATGAGACTGAAGTCAAAAGAGGGATGGAAGGTGGTCAACCCTTTTACAGTTAACTCATCAATGTCTAAGAAGTGAAATGATATATTTATATCCTGTGATGTTGCTAATATTATTATTACTATTATTGTTAGGATTATTGACTGTGTAAATAAAGTGCTTAGTGTGTTAAGTTGGACTTGAGATTCCATTTTGTGTAGAAGGGGCAGTAACAATTGATCTAGTGTTTAAATTTAGATAACTATCATCACATAACGTGAATAGTTACAAGTATTATCAGATTTAAAATATAGTCATCCAATTAAAGATGCATAGACCATTTTTCCTCCCCTCAAAAATGTTTTCACAAGATAGTAAGATTATTTCATTCGTTTTTAAACTACATAATTGTAAATTACCTGTGTTTAACATATTTCAGCTTTAAGATATTGATTAATAAGACACCAACAAATTGTGTCAATATAACAATATAACAATATAAGTTACGCTTTAATAATAATTATACATTATACACAAGTAAACGTTTCGGCACATGCCTTCATCAGTACAAACAAAAAAAACACATTTAAATAAGTAACAATTACATTTAAATAATATCAATATACATATCCTACCTCAAAAAGAAAAAAAATAAGAGAGGGCGCTAAAACCAGAAAAAAAAAGTGTAAAGAGGAGTAGAAAGGAAGTGATTTGCGGTAAATTATACATTAGAGAGACTGGCTGTCGCCTTGGGGAGCGGTTCAGAGAACACCTCTATAACATAAATAAACAAGCTCTCTGTCCGGTCTCCAAACATTTCAATAGCCCTAACCATGATGGTATCTCAGACATCGCAGTTACTCAGTTACTGTTATACGCTATACTAGTAACACTACAGATAGAATCTGTATGGAGAACAAATTAATAACAAGATTTGGTACGTTGTCTCCATATGGAATGAAACAAATCCACAATTTTACCTAGCTGCCATGTCTTTTTCCTGTTTGGTTTTTACAATTATGTTCAAATCACTTCCTTTCTACTCCTCTTTACTTTGTTTTTCTTAAAAGTACAGCAAGTGAGTTTGGTGTGTAATATATTTAAAAAAAAAAGAAAATCCAAATACAACCAAACAAAAGGTTTTGTTTTCACTAAAGCAAACATATTATGATTTCATGATAATTATTTTGTAGTGGAATTATAATTTTGTGCAAAAAGTAAATCAAATTAAGTAAAATATGATTTGTTTACATTTGATTTATTTCTCTATATTTTCAGTAGAGCAAAAATAAAATTCCCCAGAAGTGCAAAGACAGCGTGCAAATATGTGTTCAGTGTGCATGTAATAAAAACTTAGTATTTATTAAAATAAATGGTGTAGGGAATAGTGGATTGATAGGCTTCAGACATGGGCCCCCACTGTGATGAATAGTTGATGGATAGGCTTCAGACATGGGCCCCCACTGTGATGAATAGTTGATGGATAGGCTTCAGACATGCACCCCCCCCCCCCGTGTTGTATAGTGGAATGATAGGCTGCAGACATGGGCCCCCACTGTGATGTATAGTGGAATGATATGCTGCAGACATGGGCCCCCACTGTGTTGTATAGTGGAATGATAGGCTGCAGACATGGGCCCCCACTGTGATGTATAGTGGAATGATAGGCTTCAGACATGGGCCCCCACTGTGATGTATAGTGGAATGATAGGCTTCAGAAATGGGCCCCCACTTTGATGTATAGGGGAATGATAGGCTTCAGAAAGGGTTTTGCAGGTTATAGCTAGTTTTATTAGATTTAATTTGATTTGCTTTCAGTAATATAAAACAAAACTTGTTTGAAAGAATCCCAATTGGAAACAGAAAATGTGTTGTGAACACAAATGTACCAGTTGTTTGGTGCAGTTTTCATTTGTGCCCCTTTGAACATGGTGACATTGGTTCATCTCTAATAATAATCCCAAGTGGATCTTAGCTCACTCTCATTTCCTGCTCTCCTCTTCCCCCCCCCCCCAACCAAATCGTACAAATGAAATAATACAACCATGCCCACAACTCATGGTCAAATTACAAGGCAAGGCAAATGAAAGTCAATACAACTAAACAATGGTGAATAGATGGAGCCCAACTGAAATTGTTATTATGGATAATGAAACACTTCCTGTATGTTACAGATACAACATTTTTGAGTTGCCCCAGCCAGTTCTTATATATATAAGGAAAATAATCTCAAAAACTTATGAAGCTAATGTTGCCTTCATTGAAGGTTAAATTATTATGGTGGCGAACAAATTGTATGGCATATTAAAACATAACATGATACTTAATTAACTAATAAGATAACATAAATAAAATTGTTTTTAAAAAAAAATTTTTGCTTAAATGCACAACTATGCATACTAAAGCCAGCTATTCATGCACTGCAGTCCAAACTATACTCATAAATTTATGCACAGCTGTCTAAACTATACCCAGCAATATATGAACAGCTGTCTAAACTATACCCCCCAACAATTTATGCACTGCTGTCCAAACTATACCCAACAATTTATGCACTGCTGTCCAAACTATACCCAACAATTTATGCACTGCTGTCCAAACTATACCCAACAATTTATGCACTGCTGTGCAGACGATACCCAGCAATTTAGGTGCTGCTGTAGAAGCTATGCCCAACAATTTATGCTCTGCTGTATAAACTATATCAAACAATTTATTTGCTTTAAATGCACTGCTGTACAAACTGTATGCAACAATTTATTTAATTTAATGTACTGCTGTACAAACTATACCCAAAATTTATTTGCTTGAAGGCACTGCTGTACAATATTTACCCAACAATTCGTTTTCATCTGGTAAACTAACATTTGTTTACTACTCCAGGTGGTATTATAAAGATTGCTCAAGGGAGAGAAGCAAAGATCTGTTAATGCTTGCAGCAAAAGAAGGCTGTTTTCTTGTACGTGAGTCCATCAGTAGCCCTGGCGAATACTCTCTCTCCATTTACACAACAGAAAAGTGAGTCCACTACTTCGACTTGTTCTATTAAAATTTTATTTCTTTAAAATGGTACACAGAGGTGGCACACCTTTCTCTAATTTTAGGGAATATAAATTTCTAATTTTTATGTTTTAAAGTCCTTTTTTGTTTACACTTAAAATGTTCTTGACATTGCACAGCCATAAAAATGTATTTTGGATTAATATATAAATGGTCCTACGATTATAATAGAAATATTTTTTGCTGTTAAGTAAGAAATTTCTTTTGCTTGTTTTGTGCTTTAATATTTGTTCTTAACTCCAGTGGCGGTAATGTCAGGCATTACCAGATAAAACGCAATGAACTAGGTCAGTATTACATCTCAATTAACCACCCACACAACAGTATTCAGGAGTTGGTCCATTACCACAAGTATAATGCTGGAGGTATGTGGATTACTCTTATAACTATTCATTATTTGACCTTCATTGTTTAAACTCTTTGTGTAATATTAAGGTTGTTTTCTTTTTGTTTCTATACAGGACAAGCTTCAGTTGTTTGGAGATTTTATTTGTTCAATGTTCTTTACATTTCAATGACCTTATCATTTAATCAATTTTGTCAAAGAAAATAATGTCTTCTTGTTCCTGCATTTCACCAACACAGGCTTTCTCTAAGTCAGTTTTTCCCTCCCCACAGGGGGACAATGTGAAGAAAAATTAGGAAAAATAAGTTGCTGATATTGGAAATGTATTCAGGTTTTGAAAAAATAAGGGGGGGGGGGGAGCAATGTTGGACGGGGACCTTTTTTAAGTTAAGCATTGCCATAAAGTAACACAATGTAACTTAATGTAAGTTTTATTCAAGAAAATTGAATTTTGAAGCCTAAAAACCATGGGAAAGGGAATAATTAGGAAAAATAAGTTGCTGATATTGGAAATGTATTCAGGTTTTGAAAAAATAAGGGGGGGGGGGGAGCAATGTTGGACAGGGAACTTTTTTAAGTTAAGCATTGCCATAAAGTAACACAATGTAACTTAATGTAAGTTTTATTCTAGAATATTGAATCTTGAAGCCTAAACAGCCTGGGAAAGTGAAACTGAAATTATTTTTTCTTCTCCAGGCATCTACACACGGTTGAGAGATCCTCCACCTCGCGGTGATGCTCCATCAACAGCTGGTTTCAGTCGCAGTAGGTTTCTTGGTCACATTTTAAGCAAAGTTTTGCATTCAATTGAGTCAGCCTTTTTCTAGAGTTGTTATTTTACTAGAAAAATTGTATCAAAATTGTCGAAAGATCTAATCTATGCAATCTTACTACTTGGTTACAAAATATGTAGTTTTAACAAAATTATGATTTTTTTTTAATATTACAAGTACATTTTGCAAGGCCTTTTTTTTTGTTTTAATAAAAAAATGTCCTAGCAATGTAATTTCGACCTGTAACTTATCATTTTTTATTAAAAGTATCTATTTTATATTCAAGGCAAATGGGACTTGGATCCAAAACTTTTAACTCGAGGAAGAGAATTGGGCAGAGGATGTTTTGGGGTAAGACATTTGGATTTTTATGCACTGTGTATTCTTTCTAAGGCATTCCTTTTACATTAAAATTGCAAAATTGTAACATTTGACCGATGTAAATAGGTTGAATGCTAATGGCTCTCCTTATATTTGACCGATGTAAATAGGTTGAATGCTAATGGCTCTCCTTATATTTCACCGATGTCAATAGGTTAAATGCTAATGGCTCTCCTTATATTTGACCAATGTCAATAGGTTGAATGCTAATGGCTTTCCTTATATTTGACCGATGTAAATAGGTTGAATGCTAATGGCTCTCCTTATATTTGACCGATGTCAATAGGTTGAATGCTAATGGCTCTCCTTATATTTGACCAATGTAAATAGGTTGAATGCTAATGGCTCTCCTTATATTTGACCAATGTAAATAGGTTGAATGCTAATGGCTCTCCTTATATTTGACCAATGTAAATAGGTTGAATGCTAATGGCTCTCCTTATATTTGACCAATGTAAATAGGTTGAATGCTAATGGCTCTCCTTATATTTGACCAATGTAAATAGGTTGAATGCTAATGGCTCTCCTTATATTTGACCAATGTAAATAGGTTGAATGCTAATGGCTCTCCTTATATTTGACCAATGTAAATAGGTTGAATGCTAATGGCTCTCCTTATATTTGACCAATGTAAATAGGTTGAATGCTAATGGCTCTCCTTATATTTGACCAATGTAAATAGGTTGAATGCTAATGGCTCTCCTTATATTTGACCAATGTAAATAGGTTGAATGCTAATGGCTCTCCTTATATTTGACCAATGTAAATAGGTTGAATGCTAATGGCTCTCCTTATATTTGACCAATGTAAATAGGTTGAATGCTAATGGCTCTCCTTATATTTGACCAATGTAAATAGGTTGAATGCTAATGGCTCTCCTTATATTTGACCAATGTAAATAGGTTGAATGCTAATGGCTCTCCTTATATTTGACCAATGTAAATAGGTTGAATGCTAATGGCTCTCCTTATATTTGACCAATGTAAATAGGTTGAATGCTAATGGCTCTCCTTATATTTGACCAATGTAAATAGGTTGAATGCTAATGGCTCTCCTTATATTTGACCAATGTAAATAGGTTGAATGCTAATGGCTCTCCTTATATTTGACCAATGTAAATAGGTTGAATGCTAATGGCTCTCCTTATATTTGACCAATGTAAATAGGTTGAATGCTAATGGCTCTCCTTATATTTGACCAATGTAAATAGGTTGAATGCTAATGGCTCTCCTTATATTTGACCAATGTAAATAGGTTGAATGCTAATGGCTCTCCTTATATTTGACCAATGTAAATAGGTTGAATGCTAATGGCTCTCCTTATATTTGACCAATGTAAATAGGTTGAATGCTAATGGCTCTCCTTATATTTGACCAATGTAAATAGGTTGAATGCTAATGGCTCTCCTTATATTTGACCAATGTAAATAGGTTGAATGCTAATGGCTCTCCTTATATTTGACCAATGTAAATAGGTTGAATGCTAATGGCTCTCCTTATATTTGACCGATGTAAATAGGTTGAATGCTAATGGCTCTCCTTATATTTCACCGATGTCAATAGGTTAAATGCTAATGGCTCTCCTTATATTTGACCAATGTCAATAGGTTGAATGCTAATGGCTTTCCTTATATTTGACCGATGTAAATAGGTTGAATGCTAATGGCTCTCCTTATATTTGACCGATGTCAATAGGTTGAATGCTAATGGCTCTCCTTATATTTGACCAATGTAAATAGGTTGAATGCTAATGGCTCTCCTTATATTTGACCAATGTAAATAGGTTGAATGCTAATGGCTCTCCTTATATTTGACCAATGTAAATAGGTTGAATGCTAATGGCTCTCCTTATATTTGACCAATGTCAATAGGTTGAATGCTAATGGCTCTCCTTATATTTGACCAATGTAAATAGGTTGAATGCTAATGGCTCTCCTTATATTTGACCAATGTCAATAGGTTGAATGCTAATGGCTCTCCTTATATTTGACCAATGTAAATAGGTTGAATGCTAATGGCTCTCCTTATATTTGACCAATGTAAATAGGTTGAATGCTAATGGCTCTCCTTATATTTGACCAATGTAAATAGGTTGAATGCTAATGGCTCTCCTTATATTTGACCAATGTAAATAGGTTGAATGCTAATGGCTCTCCTTATATTTGACCAATGTAAATAGGTTGAATGCTAATGGCTCTCCTTATATTTGACCAATGTAAATAGGTTGAATGCTAATGGCTCTCCTTATATTTGACCAATGTAAATAGGTTGAATGCTAATGGCTCTCCTTATATTTGACCGATGTAAATAGGTTGAATGCTAATGGCTCTCCTTATATTTGACCAATGTAAATAGGTTGAATGCTAATGGCTCTCCTTATATTTGACCAATGTCAATAGGTTGAATGCTAATGGCTCTCCTTATATTTGACCAATGTAAATAGGTTGAATGCTAATGGCTCTCCTTATATTTGACCAATGTAAATAGGTTGAATGCTAATGGCTCTCCTTATATTTGACCAATGTAAATAGGTTGAATGCTAATGGCTCTCCTTATATTTGACCAATGTAAATAGGTTGAATGCTAATGGCTCTCCTTATATTTGACCAATGTAAATAGGTTGAATGCTAATGGCTCTCCTTATATTTGACCAATGTAAATAGGTTGAATGCTAATGGCTCTCCTTATATTTGACCAATGTAAATAGGTTGAATGCTAATGGCTCTCCTTATATTTGACCAATGTAAATAGGTTGAATGCTAATGGCTCTCCTTATATTTGACCAATGTAAATAGGTTGAATGCTAATGGCTCTCCTTATATTTGACCAATGTAAATAGGTTGAATGCTAATGGCTCTCCTTATATTTGACCAATGTAAATAGGTTGAATGCTAATGGCTCTCCTTATATTTGACCAATGTAAATAGGTTGAATGCTAATGGCTCTCCTTATATTTGACCAATGTAAATAGGTTGAATGCTAATGGCTCTCCTTATATTTGACCAATGTAAATAGGTTGAATGCTAATGGCTCTCCTTATATTTGACCAATGTAAATAGGTTGAATGCTAATGGCTCTCCTTATATTTGACCAATGTAAATAGGTTGAATGCTAATGGCTCTCCTTATATTTGACCAATGTAAATAGGTTGAATGCTAATGGCTCTCCTTAGGGGTTGTTTTTTTTTTTTTGGCTGTGATTTATGTTGGGGACGTCCATGGAGCACAAATTTCCCAGTTGATGAACATCTTCCCGTTACCTCTGTCTCATCACAGGTTGTTTATGAGGGAGTGTACAAGACTGGTCAGAACCTGATGCCAGTAGCCATTAAAGAGATGACAGTTAAGCCCTCCTCTGATGAAGTGGTCCAGGAGTTTAAAACAATGACGTGAGTCCAAATACAAACATATATTTTCTTATGTGCTTCATTTTAATAAATATCATCAGTGGGATGCTTCTGAATAAATCTGAATGGCATTGCCTTGATATTCTAGTTTCTGTTGTTACTAATGTTACTCTTTTAAAGTTAAATAATACTTAGAAGTCTTTCTTCAAATCTAGACAATATCATTTGTAAGCCCACATGATCATTTTTACGATTTTTATGGGTGGTCTTCTTTTTACGTTGCTACATATCCCTGTTGTTGGGGGGGATACCATCTATTGATATTATGGTATTTAACCAAATTTAAAGCCATACAATTAACTAAGAAATGTTTAAGCAAGAAAAATTATTTTGACTTGTAATGAAAAGGCTGTTATGGGAAACCGAACAATTCAAATTCATTTGCCATCATTTTTTAAATAGTTAATTAATTAAAAAAAGAGACCTTTGATATCGTTTAACATAAAAGGCTTTTTGGAATCCACTTTCATTTTGATTTTACTATTTCATTTTGATTTGACTATCTCATTTTGATTTTACTATTTCATTTTGATTTTGCTATCTCATTTTGATTTTACTATTTCATTTTCACACCATTTGAAAATCTGCAATTTACAGTAATTTAAATAAAAATATTTAAATGTACGTCTGTGTGTGTTACAGTCAGTTGAGTCATCCCAATCTAGTCCAGCTCTACGGTGTCATCTTGAACAATGAACCACAAATGATCATTACAGAACTCCTGATTCATGGTAAGGCATTAAATCTGTTTGAACATCTTTAGAACTCATTTGAACTCACTAACCAGTGACAGGAATGACATACTTAATGGGATTCATTCTGGACCTGTAAGGCTTTAAATATTTTGTTACATACTGTTACGGTTTTGATGATTTAATTTGTTTTAAGATTTGGCTCATCCATAACACAGGACTGAGAAAAAACGAGTATGTCAAGAAAACAATAGCAAAGCTAGTGATGCCAACCCACTATTGAATCATTCAATGACATTATTAACATTTCTATCAAATAGATCATTTCAAAGACAGAAATACTCAAATCTACATCAACTTAGAACATGGCAAGTGAACAAGTAGACTCCTCAAAATACAAATAGTAATTCACACACACACAATTATATAACGTCTTTTATAGCAAAAATATCTCCTCTCTCTCTCCCTCTCCCTCCCTCCCTCTCTCTCTCCCTCCCTCCCCCCTCTCCCTCTCTCTTTCTCTCTTTTTCTCTCTTGCTCTTGCTATAAACAGATCTTTTACGTCCACACCATCTAGTACAGTATTAACAAATCTTTTACGCCCACACCATCTAGTACAGTACAAACAGATCTTTTATGCCCACACGATTTAGAACAGTATAAACAGATCTTTTAAGCACACACCATTTAGTACAGTATAAACAGATCTTTTACGCCCACACCATCTAGAACAGTATAAACAGATCTTTTATGCACACACCATCTAGTACAGTATAAACAGATCTTTTATGCACACACCATCTAGTACAGTATAAACAGATCTTTTATGCACACACCATCTAGTACAGTATAAACAGATCTTTTATGCACACACCATCTAGTACAGTATAAACAGATCTTTTATGCACACACCATTTAGTACAGTATAAACAGATCTTTTATGCACACACCATCTAGTACAGTATAAACAGATCTTTTATGCACACACCATTTAGTACAGTATAAACAGATCTTTTATGCTCACACAATTTAGAACAGTATAAACAGATCTTTTATGCACACACCATCTAGTACAGTATAAACAGATCTTTTATGCACACCATTTAGTACATCATAAACGGATCTCTTACACCCACACCATTTAGTACAGTATAAACAGATCTTTTACACACACACCATTTAGTACAGTATAAAAATATCTTTTATGCACACACCATTTAGTACAGTATAAACAGATCTTTTATGCACACACCATCTAGTACAGTATAAACAGATCTTTTAAGCACACCATTTAGTACATCATAAACGGATCTCTTACACCCACACCATTTAGTACAGTATAAACAGATCTTTTACACACACACCATTTAGTACAGTATAAAAATATCTTTTACGCACATGCCATTTAGTATAATATCAACAGATCTTTTATGCCAACACAAATTTAGTACAGTATAAACAGATCTTTTATGCACACACCATTTAGTACAGTATAAACAGATCTTTTACTCCCATACCTTTTAGTACAGTAGCAACAGATCTTTTATGCATTCCATTTAGTACAGTATAAACAGATCTTTTACACACACACCATTTAGTACAGTATAAACAGATCTTTTACTCCCACACCTTTTAGTACAGTAGCAACATATCTTTTATGAATTCCATTTAGTACAGTATAAACAGATCTTTTACACACACACCATTTAGTACTGTATAAACAGATCTTTTATGCACACACCATTTAGTACAGTATAAACACATGTTTGATGCACACAACCGTTAGTACAGTATAAACAAATCTTCATATCATTATGAACATGATCAAATCATTTGTAAACATGTCTCAAAAGTAGTGTGGGAAATTCTGTAAATAGAATGCACTTGTTGCTACTGTTCAATGGAACCACACATACAAATCTAAGTCCTAAAAATATTGACTATAGCCAGCAACCAAAAGGTCATTAAAATGGTTCCTGGTTTAGGAGAGAACAGGTTTTTCTATCTCCCCTCCCCCACAATAACCCGTCCCAACACTATGAAAACGTAAAGAGGGTCTGGAATGTACTTCCTGGTTCACTTTTGTGTACTATCCAGGCTGTAAATTTTCCAAACTATAACTTATCAATAGGGAAGGAGGGGTGCAGGGGAAGGGCTGTCATTTTAACTTCACATCCTATCAGATTAGGATAGCATAGTATATGGCTCAAATTGTCTCTTTAGGTGTGGGTGGGGGTGGGGGGCACCTGGATGATGGCACCATATCAAAGATTACCTGTTTTGAATTATTCATTAATAACCTTAATTAAAATATGTGAAAAAAATGTCTTCTTTTAGCGAAGCTTAAAATTGTACAAACTGCATCAATATGATAGGACAAGATTCTTTATTTATCCAAATAAATAGAAATGTTTTATTATTACAATGTAGATATTCATTTTCAGCACATAAATAAATACATATTTTAACCAAGACAACATTTAACAATTAAACATTATAAACACAAGACATCTGAATATTTCTATAGCATAGTAATCAGCCATAAATAACCACCTTAGTGACAATAATTGCTTAATTAGTGATCATGTAGATTTTGTAACCCCTGGGGAGGAGGGAGCCCGCTGATTCTTTTTAAAGACTGGGGAACAAAAGAATTTGTATATCTTTCAGTCCTAAATTTAAGAAAAAGAATTGGCTCTGATCGAGCTGATCTTAGGTATCTGTGATGAAGAGGTAGGGATGTATCATATATACATATATATATATATATATGCATGTGTGTGTGTGTATATACAAACCTTTTTAAATTAGGTGCAGATGATTTGATATAGCCAAACATTTAATGCATTGGACAACTTCCCAAAGAAAGTAAACAGATGATTTGATATAGCCAAACATTTAATGCATTGGACAACTTCCCAAAGAAAGTAAACAGATAATTTGATATAGCCAAACATTTAATGCATTGGACAACTTCCCAAAGAAAGTAAACAGATGATTTGATATAGCCAAACATTTAATGCATTGGACAACTTCCCAAAGAAAGTAAACAGATGATTTGATATAGCCAAACATTTAATGCATTGGACAACTTCCCAAAGAAAGTAAACAGATGATTTGATATAGCCAAACATTTAATGCATTGGACAACTTCCCAAAGAAAGTAAACAGATGATTTGATATAGCCAAACATTTAATGCATTGGACAACTTCCCAAAGAAAGTAAACAGATGATTTGATATAGCCAAACATTTAATGCATTGGACAACTTCCCAAAGAAAGTAAACAGATGATTTGATATAGCCAAACATTTAATGCATTGGACAACTTCCCAAAGAAAGTAAGCAGATGATTTGATATAGCAAAACATTTAATGCATTGGACAACTTCCCAAAGAAAGTAAACAGATGATTTGATATAGCCAAACATTTAATGCATTGGACAACTTCCCAAAGAAAGTAAACAGATGATTTGATATAGCAAAACATTTAATGCATTGGACAACTTCCCAAAGAAAGTAAACAGATGATTTGATATAGCCAAACATTTAATGCATTGGACAACTTCCCAAGGATAGTAAACAGATGATTTGATATAGCAAAACATTTAATGCATTGGACAACTTCCCAAAGAAAGTAAACAGATGATTTGATATAGCCAAACATTTTTTATGTTTCAGATTTGATTGCTTGTCAGATTTGTTATCCTTGATGTTTTGTTGACATGCTGTCAGATGTGTTATTTGTTGTAACTACCTAGTACTACTTACCTCAGTTTGATTTCTGCTCATCTCCTACTGGGCATGAAGACTAATGGTGCATAATCTTTTAAAGAATCTTCCTTTAATTTTAATTTTTAGTTCTTGGTGATTCAAATTCTTAAAGGTCAACATTGGAAACACTAATGATCAATTTCTTTCTTCTCAGGGGCTCTAAATGGTTATTTGACACGTCATCGTCAAAAACTCTTCTACAACCAAAGCAAACTGTTGGATTTCAGTCTTCAGGTATCTACTGTCTAACATAGGTGCAATAAACGTCTGTTCTGTATTACATGGCCTGCTATTTCTATTTTCATGTCATTTCAGTATAAGCCATCATCATTCCGTATAAGCAGTCATCGTTCTGTATAAGCTGTCATCGTTCTATATAAGCTGTCATCATGCTATATAAGCTGTCATCATTCTCTTTAAGCTATCATGTGACTATTTTGTTAGCTTTTATATAATTGTGTATTTTAATTTTTATATTTTCTTTGATATATTTGTTCATTTATGTTTTCGTCTACACATTTGTTCCTTTATGTTTTCGTCTACACATGTGTTCCTTTATGTTTTCGTCTACACATTTGTTCCTTTATGTTTTCTTCTATACATTTGTTCCTTTATGTTTTCGTCTACACATTTGTTCCTTTATGTTTTCTTCTATACATTTGTTCCTTTATGTTTTCGTCTACACATTTGGTTCATTTATGTTTTCTTCTATACATTTGTTCCTTTATGTTTTCCTCTACACATTTGTTCCTTTATGTTTTCATCTATACATTTGTTCCTTTATGTTTTCATCTACACATTTGTTCCTTTATGTTTTCCTCTACACATTTGTTCCTTTATGTTTTCGTCTACACATTTGTTCCTTTATGTTTTCGTCTACACATTTGTTCCTTTATGTTTTCGTCTATACATTTGTTCCTTGTTCTGCACATTCATGAACATTGTATCCAAATCCATCTTCTGTTTTGTTTTGTCTTAAATAATCCTTTCTCCTCTCATAAAGCTTATAACTTATTTCCCAGAATATGGGCTAATTCAACAAACTATACCATTTCAGGTCTGCTGTGGGATGGAGTACCTGGATAAGAGAAACATAATTCACAGAGATTTGGCAGCAAGGAATTGCCTGGTTGGCAGAGAGAATGTTGTCAAAGTTGGGGACTTTGGCTTGGCCAGGTAATGTTTTGATGTGATTGAAAGTCAAAGTTGGTGACTGGCTTGGCCAGGTAATTTTTTGCTGTGATTGAAAGTCAAAGTTGGTGACTTTGGCTTGGTTAGGTAATGTTTGGGCTCACAGTCCTTATCCAACTTTGGGCTCACAGTCCTTTTCCAACTTCGGGCACTCTGAATGTTGAAAAGGCGGCCAATTCTTTTAGCTATATTTTTTTTCCAAATCATTTGTTGATGCCAGGGAGTTTTTTTTTTATCTGATTCATTAACAAACCTGGAATAGTAAATATTGGATCGGTAAATATTGGGACAGTAAATATTGGCGCAGTCAATATTGGAACAGTCAATATTGGAACAGTCAATATTGGAAAAGTCAATATTGGAACAGTAAATAATGGAACAGTAAATAATGGAACAGTCAATATTGGAACAGTCAATATTGGAATAGTTGGAACAGTCAATATTGGAACAGTCAATATTGGAACAGTCAATATTGGAACAGTCAATATTGGAAAGTCAATTTTGGAGCAGTCAATATTGGAAAGTCAATTTTGGAACAGTCAATATTGGAGCAGTCAATTTTGGAGCAGTCAATATTGGAGCAGTCAATTTTGGAACAGTCAATATTGGAACAGTCAATTTTGGAACAGTCAATTTTGGAACAGTCAATATTGGAACAGTCAATTTTGGAACAGTCAATATTGGAACAGTCAATATTGGAACAGTCAATATTGGAACAGTCAATATTGGAACAGTCAATATTGGAATAGTCAATATTGGAACAGTCAACATTGGAAACTCTTGTTGTTATGTTCAAGACTTGAGCAGATTTATTCAACAAAATTTTTCTTATCATTAAGAGAGGTCTTAAAATAGTTGGTACATGCCTGCAGGAAATATCATTTTTACTATTTTTTTCATATGTGCCCTGAAACCCCATACTATAATAAAATGTTGGGTAACTACCTATGAAGTTTTCAAGTCCATAATGTTAAATATAAATCAATGGCTGAAATCATGAAAACAATATTTTAGTGTATGACATTTTTTCTCGTATAATGATTTTTTTAATCTGACATGTTTTATATGAAGAGTAAAAAAAAACAACAGAACTCTTGGTAATTTACCACTTGAGCGTCACCGAAGAAAAAATCCAGCTATTCAGGTTGGAAGGGCTATTTAAACAACTATTCCTACATTGGAGTCTGTTAATATTTTTGCTTCCGTATAGAGGCTATAAAGTTATATAGCACAATACTAATACATTTAAATAATTATTAATGCCAAGCTTCCGATATGCCAGGAAGAAAAGGAGACTACAATTATTATTTTTTTGGATCCAGATGACGCGGATGTCCACACACAGAATGTGAAAAACGTGAATGCTCAGAAAGCGTAAACTGAAAGGACAGTCTGGCACAAGAAGCGCCGGTGATCTTTCCCCTTCATATTTACGTGGATTCATGTACCACAACCGTTTTTGTGGAAATTATATTTTTTAAAACTTCATTGTCAACTTAGGGGAGAATTATGCATAATTCCATTTTCACACATTATCTTCTATTTCAAAAAAATTGTAATAGTTTTTTCTATTTAAAAAAAAATTGTCTATTATTATGGGAAGGGATTTACGGGAAGCGTTATCCACACAGCTCTGTGAATAACGCCGAGCTTTATCGGCGAGCGTTATCGGCAGACCGAGATCTGCGAATAATGCTGAGCGTTATTGTTAGACAGAAATGTTCCCATAATTGCGCACATTTCTAGAAATAATTAGGATTACATTCCAAGCCGGGGTAGGCGTGTAGTTTTAAGTAGTGTAGGATAGCTCGATCGTTAATGAGAATGGCACAAACACATCTCAAAACCGAAGCTACCGGTATGCACAAGTTAAATTTAAAAAAATTAATAGGCCTAACTATAGCCTATATATTGGATATAGGACAATTAATTGTGCCTACATCTGCTCTGTTAGGGGCCAACATAAGATCTATTCGACCTATAGAGTGTTACTAATAGATCCAGTCAAACCTCCTACTCCTAGACATAACTAATTTTCTGGTATTTCATATGAATTGTTATACCAGTAATAAAAATGGTACCGGTATTCTTCATGTAGACTCACTTTCACCCACTGTAGAGATATCTTTAAATGATGCCAAAGCTTGATAGGATATCGTTTAGTTTTTTTAAAGCACTATGATATATCACGTAGTCCAGAAATGTTCTGTCAGAAATATTATATATAGTTGACATGCCGTGCAACATTGTTATGATGCAGAGAGGTGTCTCCATCAGGCGGCCATGTGAGAGACGGGAAGGGGCATACAGGCGGAGATACTGACCACTACACTACCGAGGAGATGTTTGCAAGCGAACTTTGTATTTTATATTCATAATTTAATTTATTACATTCTGCGAATAATGTCAAGCGTTATCGGCAGACCGAAATCTGCGAATAACGGCGAGCGTTATCCGCACAGCTCAGTGAATAATCACTTCGTTATGGGAATGAATAGTATAACCAATGTCATTAAAAATAATATAAGAATAGAGTCTAGTTGTTTAAATAGCCCTTCCAAGCGGAACAGCTGGATTTTTTCTTGGCCGAGGCTCAAGTGGTAGATTACCGAACTCTTCTAAAATAATTAAAAAGGCGATTAGAAAAAAAAAACTAGCCATTTTTGTGGCTATACATACAGCTTTAGCTGTAAATTTATTTTGATCATAAGTCAACATTTGGATAATGTGATCTTCAAACCTCTTACTAATTTCTGAAGTATGCAGATCCTTAAACTTGGTTTAAAACAAAATATACTTAGATAACTACTCCATTGGACATAAAACTGGTGATTAAAGCTTTCATAGAAATTGTATAAGTCCCTTGGATGTTGATCATGATGAATGCTCTCTGTAAATCCCTAGGATTGTGCTAGATGATGATGAGTACCAAATGTCAGAGGGCACCAAATTCCCATTCAAGTGGGCACCGCCAGAGGTTCTCTTTCACAGAAAGTTCAGCAGCAAGTCGGATGTATGGGCGTATGGTGCGTGGTACTTGACATAATTCATAAAAGATTGTTTGGTGATCTGTTTTGATGTGATTTGTTATGACTGTATGATTGTTAACTTGTTATGACTGTATGATTGTTAACTTGTTATGACTGTATGATTGTTGACTTGTTATGACTGTATGATTGTTAACTTGTTATGACTGTATGATTGTTAACTTGTTATGACTGTATGATTGTTGACTTGTTATGACTGTATGATTGTTGACTTGTTATGACTGTATGATTGCTGACTTGTTATGACTGTATGATTGTTAACTTGTTATGACTGTATGATTGTTAACTTGTTATGACTGTATGATTGTTAACTTGTTATGACTGTATGATTGTTAACTTCTGTCTGATTATTTTGCTTGTATGTTAATCATCAGGGCGAGAAAATACATATACTCATACTTGCCAGTCTGAAGGTAAACCCATAAATGTACGAGTAGTATGACCGTACAAGTCTACGGTTTTTCACTGGATTTCAAAAATAAATATTTACGTTTTAAAATTCTAACTGGCATTGTAATAAATTCAATGTTGGTCAACAGGAAGCTGAAATCCTATTGTTCCCTTCCATATGACCTTTAGCCAAAAGTCTGGCTTTAGTAGGTTATCTAAATTTAGAATCTGTGTGGGTTTTAGTGTAGACCATTCGTAAATACTATTATTAGCTACTTGAGTAGTAAACCATGATTACAAATCAGTTTATGTAATTCTTTATATCCACATTAGCATGTATGGTAAATAATATTTTAAAAAAACTATCTACATGACTTTTTCCCCATCTGTGAAAATACAGCTATAAATTGATTGTAAACTTAATAACTTTGTCAAGATGGATGAAATGTAGCTTATTTCCCTTTATTAATTTATATATATGAACCTGTATCACTACAATTATACAAAGAATATTATGTCTAATGAAATCTAAATTCCTATTACTCATTCATCATCAAGTCATAAAAAAATTGAAATTGATCAGTGTACAAAGCACAAAATCTGAGTTAAAAACAAGCTATTGTAATTTAAAAGATGTCAACATCCAGATGTTAACATTATAAAATGTGAGTGTGCAGCACAGGGGGGGTCTTATAGGCCTACCAAGAAAGAAAAGTTTGCATAAATTCAAAACATTGAAAATTGAAGAATGAACAAGTTATAAATTATGATTTTTTTTTTCAAAGTTCATTTTTGTGTGTACAGTCTTTCATGCTATTGTTCGACTTTGTGTACAGTTTGTGCCCAAAAGGTTGGAATCTCTGCACAAAGATGGTATGCTTAATAACAGAATGAGATAACATCATTGTTTCATTATCACTGATGTGAGAAAACATAATGATTATACATGATCACTAGTTTGACAATGGTTTCTCCAGGTATTCTGATGTGGGAAATCTACTCCTGTGGTGAGATGCCCTACAGTGGAATGAGTAACCCAGATGTCCTCAAGTATGTGGCTGAGGAGGGAAAACGACTTGAGATGCCAAGAGCTGCGTCCACTCCTATATTTGAGATTATGAAACACTGTTGGGCTACTGTGAGTATACTGCTTTAATCTGTTGTATTATTGTTCTTCTAAAAATATACTATTTAAAATGTTGTTCTATAAGTCTGTTGTATGAATGTTGTACTATTTAATTAAACTATTTAATCTGTGGTATAATTTTTGTTCTATAATTATACTGATTTAATCTTTTGTATGGATGTTATTCTATAAATAAAATATATAATCTGCTGTATGATTGTTGTTGAATACTATGCTGCTTTAATCTGCTTTGTGATTGTTTGTCTATAAATGTACTGATTTACTCTTCTTACTGTCTATAGCTAAGCTCTAATTTTATCTTTCTCTTTTTAATAATTTTGCCTACCTGATGAAGACTTTCAGTCGAAATGTTTGTTTTATTGTCTTGTATTATCATTAAAGCTTTCGCATATCATGTTAATATCTTCAATGCAGTCGTTACTATATTATCCTTTGTAAGATTATTGTTCTATGAGTATACAGATAACTTTTACATTAGTATCTGACTTACTTTTGTGCACAGGGGAGAATTATTATAAAAATATGTGTTTGGTGAGAATATAGGGAAATTACATTTTAGGTCTGAATCCACTGAACTTTTTCATAATGAAATTGAAAAGGTTCATAAAAAGTTTATTTGATGCTTTTTAACTTTTTCTTTAATTTATTAATTTTCAGCATCCGTTTGACCGACCAACCTTCACCCATCTAAGAAACAGTTTGGAAAGGTTGAATGCCAGGGGAGATTACTTGCCTGCTGTGATACCTTGATCAAATTCTCAATCACATTGTCTAAACCTGATGGTGTGAGGTTTGCATCACCTGTTGGTAAAGTAGGATTGTAAGCTGAAACCTACCTGATGGTGTGAGGTTTGCATCACCTGTTGGTAAAGTAGGATTGTAAGCTGAAACCTACCTGATGGTGTGAGGTTTGCATCACCTGTTGGTAAAGTCTGATTGTAAGCTGAAAACAAACTGAGATTTGCCAGTTTCTTGACCAGGACGGGCAGCTTTAGCCAACCAGCACCAGATTTGTGTGTTCTAATGATGTTATGGACTAGCTGAAAGGTGATTTAAGCCGGATTAATGGTCATTCAGACAGTGACAACCACACTATGTTGATAAAAGGTGTTGACGTGTGATGCCATCTGTTGACATGTGATGCCATCTGTTGACAGTTGATGCCATCTATTGACCTCGAGCCAGTAGAACTATCACAAGAAATAATAATTCAAACCACTTTTTTTTTTTTTTTTTTTTTTTCATTAACCTTGTTATTCAGCTTAAATTAAAATAACACATTTATATAAATATAATTGTATATTTATCTTCAAAGGGTACAGTTTGTCTTGTGCCATAAACTCCTCACTGTATTAATAATTGGGGAATTGCCCTCTGAAATTTGTTTTTGACTATTTACTGAAATATTAACCCACCTCATTCTCTTAATTGGTTTTAATTTATAACACTGGTTTTATTCATTTGATTTTATATCTTTATTTATATTGTGGTATCATCTGAAATTGATTTGAATGTAATATAAGCATAATGTGAACTCTTTTATTTCCTTCATTAATTCTTTTATATTAATGACTTAAGGCCAAAATGACAGATACTTTGTTATAGTTATAGCAATAAGAAATTATTTGAATGAAATAAAATTATGAAAAATAAACACTTTTTTTTCCAAGATTAAAGAGGCTTCTTGTGAAGTCTGCCACTTCATTAGATGGCCTTAATGGGAGGGCTAGTTGCACTACTGCATACATTTTTAAATGTACTTGATCCTCAAACCCCAGTGCCAGCCAAAGGCCACGACAACATCTTGGAATAAAGTTTTTAAATGCATAGAATAAAACTACAAGGGAAAAAGAACCACAGGATGAGAACCCCTGCCTTAATTGGTCAAAATGTCAAAACAGTTCAAATTTCTTTTTATTTAATTTTTTTTTTTTTATATGAAACATAGGGAGCATTTTTTAAATAGTGAGACTTATAATCATGTGCTTTCATGTAGACACATTTTTTTTAATTGAAGGCTTCAGAAAATCATTTGTTTTCAATGCTAATTGAGTTTGGTTTACAAATCTGTTACAGGAAAATGCTCAGACAGAAGAGTCTCAAGACGCTCAATGACTGAGCTATGATTGATATTGTGAACACAGATTTGGCCTAGTTTAACCATGCATTTATTATAAAGTTGTTTTAACATGCTAACTATGACAGCACTATGTTGTTTGTGTACATAAATGTCTATTTAGTCATTGATGGCACATCTAGAAAGTTAAAATCCACTCCAGGTTTTCCTTTCAATGACAAATGTATTGCTTATTAAACCTGTTGGCTTACAACACGCATGATAAACATATATATATCAAAGAAATTTTTGTATCCCTTGGAATATTTAAATAATCATTTTTTACACAGATAATATATCTCAAATGAGTGGATATTTTTATCATATACATAAGTTCTTGATACGTCTTGTATGCAATGTGATTGGGTGAGTTTTAATCCTTCCCAAAACTCGACTCGGTCAATCTGTAAAAAAAAAAAGAAATTAAATATTTAAAAAATTCCTTATTCATAAACTTTAAATCTGGAGTCTGCATAATCGATAAAACTGGTTTTAAATAATATTACCTTTAAAATAAAGTTATCTCTTTAATACCTTAAACTGTTATATATTTTTTTGTTAATTATTTGTCATTTTTACATTTTGTGAAATCTTTTCTTTTATTTCAAATGTTTATTTGACATTAACTGAAATAACTTGCCTTGTTAATGACACCTAAAATCTTAATGTTGTTGATGTTTTTCTTGATGCACATTAAAAAAGTGCTCCTTACTGGCTTGATCAATGAATTTATGATTACTCTCCTCCTTACTTGCTGTAATCAACAAATGAATCTGTTATCTGTTCCTAACCTGCTACCTTGCATTTGTAAAAATGTTCTCTATGTTGCATTATTCCATTGAGCTCTTAACCAAAAACATGAGTATAGACCACATCAGCTTGTATCCAACATATATTATATTTTATTTTCCCATCGTACTGCTGGATAAAATTTTGTTTTCATCCCATTTTCCTTTTAATTTGATAATCTTTTATCAGCACATTGACAAGAATGATATATTGATGAAAGATTTTTAATGCCATTTATTCGAACCTGTTATAATAAATTTTGGTCTCAATTTTTCTATATGAATCCACTTTGAATTTTTACTTGGGTTGCTAAATCAATTAAGTATAGCGAGTATTTTATATTTTCACTAAGTGAAGAGTCCTCTTGTCTCATCCTGCTACGCACAAATACTTCAATGATCAATGTATACATACCTTGTCCTGTCTTCCATTTAAACTATGCAAGAAAATCTTGATTTATCATTGAGTTGTTCCAGTCCAACAATTAGATGTATAGAATGAGAAATGCTTTAGTTGTGTGTGTGTGTGTCTTTCTTTTTGACATCTTACAACAACCTTTTTTTTGTTTTCCAATTGTTATTACATGCCATTGGATCACACAAAGAAACTGTTTTTTTAAAGTGTTTTTAATCAGATAGATTTTAAGGTTGAAATGTTACTTTCTAATGGACAATTATAAAAATGTTAACATTTGTTTAAATGAATTATTTTTAAATCATAGAACGTTATCTTTAATATACAATCTGCTAAACCATTTGCTGCTGAAATGCATCATCTTTATTGATTCCATTGTTTTTCTCTTCTAGGTCTTTCACAAACTGACTGGATGTTAGTTGTTGAAAATGTTGCTTATGATCTGAGACTTTTATTGTCACTGGTTATTCATGTTATTGACATTCATCCAAAGATTCATTTCTAGTGACTGTAGAACATTGTATTTTAAAAAACTTCTTTTAATGTGTCTGATGCACTCGTCAAGCCTTCGTCATTATGTCTGTTGTTTTTTTAAAACAAATTAATAACAGAATTAAGCAGGAGTATACTTAGAGCTGTGAAACACTTCTTTACTGGGTTTTAATTTTTAAAAATATTAACTGCTAATTTAACTAAATTGCAGAAAATAATTTTTCTTTAATTTTATTACAACTTCAAATCCTATCTATATTTATCTGAGACAAACAGAAAGACTAAACAATAAGAGCAAAATTTGTAGCAAAAAACTCATCTGTAGAATGCTCTTTGTTTATCGCATTAGATGGCTTCAGATTTTTTAGTGTTGAATTTAAATAAAAGTGTCTTATTGAAAAAAATTAATTTCATCAACTGACCATTGAAGAAAAACCAGGAAAATTCTTCCAAAGTTCCTTTAAAATTATAACCTAATATTTTTTTTATATTTAAAAATTCTAAATGGTTATAGTATTAAATATTAAGCTGTATTTATAAATGTACTCTCACCTTTCTGAAAACCAAAAGATCATGGAAAGGCAGACATGCGTAATTTGTGGTATGGAACTGATCAATGTTTATATATCATAGACCACTCCATCTAAAATATTAATTCAGCAAGACTTAACATTTTATTTTAAAAATGATTTGAGTTCATTTGGCCGTCTGGTCATATCATTTTTCTGTCTGGTCATATCATTTGGCCTTATCGTGATAGGTTTATTTCTCCTTTGTTTTTTTCTGGTTCAAATAATCAAAATATATTTTGTGTCAAATATATTACTTACAAAATTTATGACATGTTAGGTTTCAAGGTATTTTTTTAAAATTGCTTTTATCAAGGATTCTCATTTCATGTGACATTATTTTGTTGTTTTAACTGTCTCGTAATCAAAGGTTCTTAAGTCATAGGTCATATATTTTGGGATTGTCATTATAATAGATTTTACTTAGTTTTCCCTAAACAACAATCGTTCTAAGATTTTAGGTCATGTGTTGTCTTGTCATTAATTTTAATTTTTTTTTTACTTCTACTTACCAATCAAAGCTCATGCCATGGTGACTTATTCATTTTTTTAGTTTGTTATCTAACTATATCAATGGTTCTAAAAATAACTCTTTGTTTCCCTTAACCAATTTTCATGCATCAAGTGTTCAGACTTGGGACCCAAAAAATATAAAAATCTTTGACATTTTTCCTAGTTTAGACCTGTTTGAGTGGTAGAGGTCTAAGCAACCCACTCATGCTCTCAATAGCGGTAGAATGCTGGCACAACGAAATAGAGTGGCTAGAAAGCTCACACAACAAAATAGAGTGGCTGGAAAGCTCACACAACAAAATAGAGTGGGAAAAGTAAAATTTAAAAAAATATATATATTTTAATAACTTTTTATAAAAGATTTTAATGGATTTAATTCTTCTTTAAATTTAGAATTAAAATATAAATTTTCTTTCTTTTGAAAATCATTGCGCTAAAAATAAGTTACTTGCTTATGAGAAAACTACACACTTAATTTTTATACCTATTTATTTTGGATGCCAAGCCAATCTAAATATTTTGCTTGACTTTCTTGTGCAAAAAATGTAGACATAACATGTTGCTGACATAGAGACTTTTAATTTTGAAGATGTGCTTCATTTTAGAACAGTCGCCATAATGAAATATTTAAATCCTACAGTAAATATGCCAAACTGATAAAATTAGACATAAAATGATCTAATCTCTCAGTGTTTTATGTTTATGTATTTATTTATGAGTCTAAGATAACACCCAAACTGTTATGTCAATAATATACTAATAATAATAATAGGATTTCATTTATTGCAGAATGTTTTTCTCTTGGTTTTTTTTTAAATATTTTTTTGTTGTACAAATTTTAAGCTTATTTTTATTTTGTACATAATTTTTTTATTCATGACTGCTTATTAATTTAATGTAAAGTTTACAACATATTTGTTTCACCTACTCATGACTTGTATTCATCTATTTTATATCTCTTGTAAATACGGCTGCCCCTATAGCATGGACTTGTTGGCTCATT